GAGAATATACAATACAAGCAGTTAATTAATTAAATATTAATTATGTTTATGTAATTGCTCTGCATGCATATTAGTGTATATTATCTCTGGTTACCAGTTAAGTTTATTATTGAAAAACGTTTTCATTTTACGTGCGTTGTATTCGTCACTAAGAGTCTCATGTCGAAGAGAACGCAATGCAAGGACCATGGCCCTTTACGACCACAATTTCAAAATTGTATTCAGTAGAACTTCGAACATGCTTGAACGGATCCCAAAATTTGATGTTTAATTTTATTTAAATTTTCAGATGTCATAAGCATGATGACGTCACCAATCATTACATTAGTCGTAAGTACTAGCTAATATTAAGCCTTTGTGTTTGCATTTGTTCAATGGCACTGGATTGATTTAGGCCATTCTATATAATGAGTTATTAATCTATACGACTCTAATCCCATACATTTATATATGAGATTAGAGGAGTTACTAATTTCGATTTGATGAAAAACAAATATATTTTCAAAAGCACATAATGACTAATCTTCATATATCTGTTATATTACACAGTCCTATGCAGTCTATTCGTTTGTGAGCCCTTTTCCCCTGACGCCTGAGTTGACGTTTTCCTCACTAGCATTGTTTCAGCAACTCATCATGCCGCTGTTTGTGTTGCCAATGACCATCGCCTTCACAGTCAACGCCATCGTCAGTGGCCGTAGACTTGAGAGATATTTTGTAGCTCCCGAGATTGAAGAGAATGACGATGGTCGTGCTGCACTATGTTCAGCGGAACAGCAGTTCAAAGAAGGAGGAGATTTGGGGGAGGACGAAGATGACTTGTTGGATGTAGAGGTATGTAAACGATCTAATATAATACATACATACCGCTGTTGTGCATGAAACAGATGATACAAAAGTAAGAATCGTTAGAATCTTTAAACTTAGACGCCCCTGGAAATATTAGCAGAAATAATGGTTCATCCCTGTTTTGTCCAAACTCCGTAAATGTAAAAGAATATGCTTTATCACCAGGGTAATCTAGTACAGGCACCGAGCCGATCGCTGAGTAACTCGTTCAAATATGAGAGAATTCCACCTGATGACGTGGACTTCAAGTCAAATCTAGTGACCAATGGTAGTACCACGGGGGTATACGGCACATTTCATCGGGATACTTCAGTCACAGATTTTGAAAGAACGACATCACATAGCGTGCCTGAAAATACAGCTGTTATGGTGAGAAATATTCTCTTTAATGCCTTCTTAGAGTCGTCTCTCAATTATGGAACAGCTAACTTAGAACACTGATATGGTGCCAATCGGTGGGATAGTGTTAGTTATACGTGTCTATCATGGGAGAGTTACCTAATTACACTGTATTGTCAATATCGTCACACTGAGCTAATGTGTAGTCAGCGTAGTACACAAGTATGTGTATCGATCGATCGAGGCGAAGCCCAACTTTCATATCTTTATAAATGATTTAAAAATCACACGTTACTTTACGTTGATGATTACGACTAATTACTTTGTAATATAAAAGACCCCTCGCCCAGCAATAAAATTCACGCAAAAGAGTAGAATTCTTGGCATGTGATGTGGCAGTGAATGTCTGACACTGAATTAGTTACACAAATGTTATTGTATGAGATTAACAATTCGCATATATGCTGTTTTTAAACCCCAGATAACGAAAGGATCATATTCTTGGGATACTGATAATCCAGTTGCTATTTTAAGTGACATCAATCTGGTTATTCCGGCAGGTAACTAGACATTTTTTCCAGTAAATTGCTGTCACTATATATTGAAAAACAGAAATGCTAGCCAGACTTTGTCGATACATGGCACGTTTTTACACGTCTCAAGCGTCTTTGAAAACTGCGATTGATGATGAAATGCAAATATTATATCGAAGAATAACTTTATTGCAAAAGTTGATAACCCCATATTGAGATCAATTGTTTTGTTGTGACGATGTAGTACGCATGCATGTCCTTGTGTTCAGTTTTATGGAAGTTTGCGTAATTTAACTATATATAAGAAAATAATGGATATCTTTCGAGCAATTATGTCTTAATGCTTTGTCACTTGCTTCTCATCAGCAAAATTAACAATGCTGGTTGGTCTGGTTGGTAGTGGCAAGTCATCTATATTATCGGCCATATTAGGTGAAATGACCACACTATCTGGTCGCGTTCTCTTCAACAGGTACGAATGAATCCGTTATTTTCATTATTTGATGTGGTGTAGTCAATTTTGTCATCGCAAAAAAAAATCATATACGAGCATATTTCCATCCTATTTCTAGAAAAAAGAACCGTATTGCGTATACCCCTCAAACAGCCTGGTTACAGAACAATACGTTTAAAGAGAATATTCTTTTTGGGGAACCTTTCAATGAAAAAAGGTAGGCAAAATACTAAATATTTGCAACGCTTCGTTCGTTTGTCCGCTGAATATTTACTCCAATTCACACAATCAATCGTCATAATTGGCAGATACAAACAAGTGCTTGATGCCTGTGCACTCCAGCCTGACATAGATATATTACCAGCTGGAGATCTAACAGAGATTGGAGAGAAAGGTATAAACCTCAGTGGAGGACAGAAACAACGTGTTAGCTTGGCAAGATGTATGTACAGTAACACCGACATCATTATAATGGTGAGTGATTTTATTTTACCACTGTTGATGTTCTCAAATTAATAATTTACCTTTTGTCGCACAATGTCTACGTTTTCAATGCAGGACGATCCGTTGGCGGCTTTGGATGTGCACGTAGGAAGTCACGTGATGCACGAAGGGATTCTGGGATTTGTGATGAAGGAACAGAGAACAGTAATTTTAGTGTCACATCAGCTGCAGTACTTACAGTACGCACACAAGGTATGAACACAGGTATTGTGGTATGAAGGTTTGTTTCTATGCCGTGAGCACGACTGTTGGCTATTCAGATATAAATACACATTATAGTTGAAATATATGAGCCGTCGTATATTAGTTAACTTAGGCTTACACCAGAACAATTGGGTAAGACTAATTATATCTATACAGATTATCGTAGTAGATAGCGGTCGTATTTATCGTCAAGGTAACTTAGACGAGATCACCAACGACGATCCTCAGCTGCTCGGCGAGTGGGGCAAATCAATGCTATTACAAAGTGAATCAGAAAAAGAGAGTGGAACCGAGGAGGAGACCACCGAGCTGGAAAGGAAAGAGCTGTTGAAACAAGTCTCCATGGTACCCGGAGAAGAGCTTAAGTTCGAAAAAGGTGTGTTGTTTCTATCAGTTAGGAATTGAATAATCATTTGCCAATCCACATTGTAACATTTAAGTATTTGTAAACAAGTAAGGAATCATATTTGATGATTTCAGCAGGCACAACTCTTATAGAAGATGAAGAGAGCGAACATGGATCAGTGTCATGGAGAGTATACCTTGCCTATGCTAAAGCTGTTAAGTTTCCGATGGTATTAGCGGTGCTTGCGATATGGACCTTACAGACATCAGCGACGGTAACAAACAACTTCTGGTTGTCAGCTTGGTCAGAGAGTGGGGTCAATGCCACGCTGTTTAATGTTACCGAGGTTAGTTAAATGATGTCAAAAACTTGAATATACCACATATTTGCTGGTTGACTGCGTTTAAATTTTATTTTATTTAATTAACCCTAAACCTGCTCCTCCGGTGCCTCTCGTCCATTTTATTTACATATGCACTTCTTCAGGGCATATATTTGGAGTGGAATATGCAATTACACTACAGGCTGGAGTGTTAGGTTAGTAGTTCAGATCATGGGTGGTGGGTTGGAACTATTGCCGACAAATTATAGTTGTTCGATTTTATTTTCATAGGATGCAAGCGACGACCTCGGTTATTGGATTGGCGGTTATGCATTAATAAGCACGATCGCTGTAATACTGGGATTATTTGGATCTTCAGTGCAGATCATGTCAGCACTGATTGCTGCCAAACGAATCCACATCGCTCTGCTTCACAACATCATTCACGCACCAATGAGGTTCTTCGACACGACTCCCGTTGGCCGTATATTGAACAGGTTTTCAAATGACACCCAAATGATTGATCAGGTTAGTCCATAATAAATCAAAGTTTCAAATAATTAGTATGGAAAGCCATTCGGGCACCTCGATGGTATAATAATGAACTCACAGAGAAACGTACAGAGTTGAAAGTTGTATACTTATATTTTTGAACTAAAACATTTCCGGGGGTTATATTTGTTTCTTATTACCACAGGTATTATGTTAAATAAGTCTTACATATCTGACAAATCTCCTGAGCGTGGCATCATAAATACGAATACTGGTTCAATAAAAATATATACTAACTACACATGTATCAACACTGAATGCGTTGTTGATATCGATAACGTAGTTGTAATCCTAGTTGACACTTGTATTTACGTCGCTATAATCGCGCGAGCAGTTTTAATATCATCAATTATTGTTATTATCATTGGGAAATCGTTTTTTACACGCGTTGTGTACGTCGTTATGAGTCCCATATTGAACAGGAATCGGCGCCACGACCATCGCCCTTTAATGTATAGCGGGACTTTAAAGTTAAAACCATCAATTTATTTTCAAACACTTATACTACACTCTTCTACATAAGTGTTTCTATGACCATGCTGACGTGTCAAACCTTTCTTTGAGATAATTTCTTTCAACAGAACAGAACAATATACATCTTACGTCATTAAAAATGGCATCCTGAGAGATAAGCAATACCAAACTACTTTTGATATTTAACTAACTCACCTGTACCTTTCACTACTACTAGTATATTAGATTGTGCATTTATTTTAATGTATAATAATATAGATTTGAAAAATAAAAATAAAATAAACCATCAAGATCTATTCGCACATAACACATACATCTAGCTAGGTATATGTTTTCGTTTGACGAAATGGTTTAAATATTAAGACTTTCTGTGAATATGTCAAGTCAGCGACAATCGGAGATGTTCTAAATAAGCACAACTATTTTTAATTATATAAATTATCGTTACGCTTTATTCTACGCTGTGTGCGAAACCAAGACATACAGTGATGTTATTTGAATTGGCTAGGTCACGAGATCACATTTGTTGATGACAGAAAACGAAAGTGGCTATGATATTGATTTTTTACTAGAAAAATAGCATGATGTTTTGAAATAACATCACTGCAGTCGAACGTAATCACACGACAAACCTGTTCACAGTTTCTCCGTTGAATGAGTTGTATCTGAGATTGAAGTGATTATCAGGGAACCGTCGCTAACATTGCTATATTTATTACCTTATAGAAATTAATGCAGACGATAAACAGGCTACTACTCATAGTATTTCAAGTTATTGCAGCTCTTGTTGTCAATACCGTTGTGGTGCCAATGTTTCTGCTGTTTGTCATGCCTGTGTTGATTATCTACTATTTCATTCAAACTTATTATATAGCGACCTCAAGGTAGGCAATTTAAAAATGTGAAAAATATATTTCTTACTGTGTTATCTCTTACTATTATATATCCAATCACTGGGTTTATGAACTTATATATATATATATATTCTTAGTTAATACATGAATACATGAATTTCATTACGCTTAGAGAACTTCAGCGTCTGGACAGCATAACCAAATCACCGGTATTCGCTCACTTCTCTGAAACGTTGGGGGGATTGACCACAATCAGAGCATACAGGTAAGCATAAACGTCACTTATTATTGAACTCACTAACCACTTTCAAAAATCATTACATAATAACAACTCAGTCAGTCATAATCTTTGTTTCCATCTATACATTCTTTGTAAACAAATACCGCATCTCTGCTACACCTCATAGTGCCGATGAAATACACAAGGGTAGTGTTCTATGTTCTTCGTGTAATTAGGTGTTCATATGCAAGGGATTTTCCCAAACAAAAACGACGAATTCGGCCAAATTGTGTTAGCGGTTGGATTAATATTACCCCAACGGATCGTTTGGCTGTGAAAGATTGGTATTTTTTCCTGATTTGCAGGAATTTGAAAAACGCGGTTCACAACTTTTCTCTTTATTCAGTTTCATGCCGTATTCAAGATGGCGGCTCCCATATAGCGAATATCGCATTTATTTTGATATGACCTGTGCACTAGCTGACTGTAGATATGTTAGACAGGTAGATGATACACGTGTTTTCTCCATTCGCAGACACGAGCGACGATTCCGTCGAAATTTATTCAAGAAAATCGACACAAATAATATCGTATTTGTGTTTTTACAAATGGTTAACCGATGGCTAGCAGTAAGACTAGTACGTTTTGCAAAAATTATATGATAAAATATAATAATATAAATCAATATTTTTGTTGGCAATGTTTTACAAGTCTAATATATTCTATTTCTTTTTTTTAAATTAAATATAGGACCTAGTTGGTGCATTCATTGTTCTTATATCTGGACTTGGTGCCTTGGTAATGTCAGCTCTTGGCAACATCCAACCGAGTTTGGTGGGCTTAGCACTCACGTACTCCTTACAGGTACGGTGGGAATTCGGGGGAGGGAGATTGTAAAAAAACTGGACAACTTATTTAGTTCCTCCACCAAGACTGAGCTATTCCCTCCTCCACATGGGGTTCATTGTCCTCCGCGAATGTGTGTGCGTATTGTGTTTGTTTTCTGTAATTTTTCCCTGTAGAAGTTTTTTTTTAAATTTATGGTTTGTGGCATCATCCTGGGTGCTCATCGATATCCAACGATCATACCCAGATGTACAACGTCTAGATCGATAACAGTAATTTAACACGTGACTTTATCTTATTTCACAGGTATCTATGTATTTAAATTGGTTGATTCGTCAAACTTCCGAATTGGAAATGCAAATGAATGCGATGGAAAGAGTTGAACATTACACACATATCCCAGTTGAACAGTACGAAGGTTAGTGTAGATATGGGCAATACTGTGACTATAATCACTTCAAAACTTGCCGTACATTATATGCAATCCACCCAGTAAATCATGGAGGTATAAATATACCTTCATGAGTAAATGAACTGTACTATATGACAGTAATGCGCCTTGTCAATAGTTAGAATGTACAATTACTATCTTCTCAATATATCACAGGAGAAATCATCCAATATGATCTGGTACGATCATTGTAAATTTTGGGTAGCGTCTGGTTCTCCTTTGAATATCAACGTAGCGATATCTGAAAGTGTACCTTACAGTATTGTAAGATGGCACTAACTTGGAACTAACACTGTGTTTTACATCCTAGTATGCATTGCATCGCATATTTCGAGCACGACGCGGTGTGGCTACTGTAGCATCAACCATGTTTGTATTGTTTAACATCTTTTTGTTTCATTGTTCTTGTGTATGTACACAACAAGATGGGTCTTTTACTGTCGTGACGTGTCATTACAGGGATTTACGCACCCCCACCAGAGTGGCCCGATAAAGGCGATGTCCGATTCACGGACGTTTGTGTACGCTATTCTACTGATCTGGGCGCTGTCTTACGTGATGTTACCGTACATTTCAAAGCAGGCGAAAAGGTGATTTTCAAATTGTCTTGCATACATACCAATCGTTTGCTGGAAATAAAAAAAAACACACACAACAATAACATGTGTATTTTGTGTTTACAGATTGGCGTATGTGGTCGCACGGGAAGTGGGAAGTCATCACTCGCACTAACCTTGTTCAGGCTAGTAGATACGTTTAAAGGTAACCATGCTCAGTTGTGTGGGGAATAAGACATGATAAAAACAATAATTAATATACCGTTTCGTTAATTTGTCGGTTTTTGTAAATGCCTTCAATTCGTTTGTAGGTTCTGTTGTCATCGATGGAATTGACATATCTCAAGTTCCGCTATTGACACTTCGTAACAGAATTGCAATTATTCCACAGGATCCTGTGCTGTTTGCTGGCACTATCAGGTAATGACACATTTAGTCTTCTATGCACAAATTTAAATATTTATGTATCTAAAACTCGAAACCAATGGAATTAGATACATTATTATGCAATTGATGATGATTACTATCATTATATTTTCAGAATATCTAATGTAGTTACATTTACTTTTCTTATCATAGATTCAATCTTGATCCACTGGAACAAACAGCAGATGATAAACTATGGAAGGCACTAGAGATTGCGCAGTTGAAGCATACCGTTTCCGAACTCGATGACCAGCTTGGTGAGCACTGTTTCCATACACTAGATTAAACCGTTACACACATATATATATATGACTGAATTTAGTTAACATTCCATGTAAATTATAAAGTTTGATGCTAACCATGTTTACCGAAACAAAAACGTAAGTCACCAGATTCTAGTCCCAACATTGAAGTATCTCTCATAAAAAATGCTTAGTTCCACAGGTCACAAGAATGGCTATAAACAAATATATCTTATACCAAGGTTCTAAAATACAGGATTGACCGACATTTACCATTTTACTCAACTGCACTGAAAATGTTAAAATGAATATGTCCTTTGCCATATAATAGCAAATTGTTTTTGCAGGATTTTTTACCGTGTAAATCAGTTGTGACAGTCGAATACTTTAATATTCTATAACATTCTACTTTTAGAATAATGGAAGACTCATATTACTCTATTGTATATATTTCCCCATAAACGTTTTGCAGATGCGGAAGTGGCTGAAAATGGCGAAAATTTTAGTTTAGGTCAACGACAGTTGTTCTGTTTAGCAAGAGCTTTTCTGAGAAATGCAAGAATCCTCGTTATGGACGAGGCAACGGCGTCAATTGATATGCAAACCGTGAGTACATAGCCACAACGTAATATGTAAGGTATGTGTTTTCACATACATTAATTTAACTTAATTAAAACCATATTTATATATGCAAATATTTGCATTTTTTTACCTAGGATGCGATTCTACAGGAAGTGGTTGCTACATCTTTCAACAATGTAACAGTCATAACGATTGCTGTACGTAATGTATACATTATCATGTTCGTTATGTCGTATTAGCAACATATCCAATCATTAAGTGCTGACTATCACGGCAACAAGGGTCCGGGGTTCAACTCAAATATTTATTACACACATCGTAGAGTTGTAAATAAATGTTTATTTTATATTCCAGCATCGCGTTGCTACAATCATGGATTCGGACAATATACTTGTGTTGAGTGATGGCAAAATAGTAGAATATGACACACCCGAGAATCTCTTAATTGATGAGAACAGTGTTTTCTCTTCATTGATAAAAGGGAAAAACTAGGAAAGAAGAGACAGAAAAAAAAGAGACATAATCGATACGTTTTTTATCAAAGGTCTACTGCAGCATGTACCTATATTCTCCCTAGCAGTGATTTATAATATAAATTTATGAAGAATGTATGCAAAAACACTACGACGTTAAGATCGGTTTATGCTAATCCCGTGTAGATAACCGATATGTGTCATCCTAAACTGTTTTCCCTTCTGAAAATGAACTTCTCACACAGTCATGTTATATATATATTTGGTTTTATTGAGTAATCTTTGTGGACCAATTATATGACACTGGAACTGCATTCATTAAAACAAAATTGCTGCCAGTCGGCCATTTTAAATCAGATTTAAAAAACAAAATGACGTCCATCAAGGTCCAACATATGCACCAAGTTTGATTTTATAGATTTTTCAGCACAAAAATGGCAGACATTCAGCCACCTTGAATCAGATCGTGAAACAAATTGATGTGCATATGTATAATATTATGTGCACATGTATGACGTATGTGTGAAGTTTGAATGTAATCAGTCCAGGCATGTCTAAGATCTAGGTCCGGACGCACGCACAGATGCACAGATGTCAAACCACAAGTCCCCGTTTTCAGACTGCGTCCGAACAGGAATTAATAACGTAACATTAATTGTAGTAAAGTTCCCAAATAATAGTGAAGTAATATATATATATATATATATAAGCAAATTAAAATACAATCCAAATTTGAATCAAATCAGTGTGTGCTTTACACAAGGAAGTCCAAAATGTGGGAAAACTAACACTACTCACTTCTTTAATTTATACTCACAAGGAAAACAACATGCGCATCAGTTCATTATACTCATCTACTTGACTGATCTTAGAGAGCATATTAATATAATTTTGTTTCTCATTATTACATATGTAGCAGTATAAATGTATTAATTCTGTCTACCTTTTTTCTACATCTAACAAATGCAGCATTCATTCAAATTCTGCACCATATCTTGAAAGTTTCACCTATACCAAAACTGAATTTGGTTGATTGTGACGCATATACCATATACCTTCAATAGTGGGTAACAAGATTCTCTAACTTGAATATGATCATATACACAATTTTATTGTAACCACCAAGAACAAATTTTAAGTATATTTTAACCAATATCCTAAAAAATATACATAGAACACAGACCAATCTTGAAAGTGGCCGAGATTTTGTTTTGTTTAGGTTGTATGTTTCCTGTAACTCAAAGTTCGGTTAACTGTTAATTAAAGATTGAGTTACAAAATGTGGATGCTCAACAAAAACAAAAAAATATATGTTACCTGTAACTCTACTTTCTGTTAATTGTTTAATTTAACAGAGTTACAATTAGGACCTAGTTGCGTAACTCGATGTTCGTAAGTCGAACAATTCGTCATCTCCATTTGGAAAGAAAAAAATGCCTAAAGCAATATGCCCGATACCCCTCTCTTGCATAGACAGAAATAGAAATTTATATATTAGCTACACAAGATATATTTCAAATATGCATACTAGCATTCATGTACACCAATTTGTTGTTGAGCTATTATAATAACATTATACCTTGAAAACTCAAGATGTGAAAGCAAGGATGTCAACTTAAAGCGAGGGAGTCGGCAGCAGACAGCCACAGGCGTGTTGTTTTTTACAAAGTCTACCCATGAGCCTTTGCGTTTTAGCCTGTGTTATGTCGCTTGTGATTCAGTTGCGCAGATGACAACTCTAGACTGGCAAAGTGGGTACTTTTTTTTTTGTCTTACAAATAAAATATAATTTAGCCTTTTTTAACGTGATCACGAAAAATAGTGTGAGTGCGAAAGAAATCCTAACTGGATGCATCTGCAATCGACCCTCTGCTAGTTGTTGACTAGCATTAACAACGAATCAGAGTGCAGCTCTATATGTCATACATTATTTATGTTAATATACGTGACCTTTCACTTCTGAGGTCCCGGCGATTTTGAAAAACTACTTATATACATTGGACATTTTAAATCGACTTGTTTTCAGTAAACATGGAAAAAAGTGTCGCCTTTGCACTTAGAAAGTTTCCATCTCTGCGATCAAATCGAATCAATCTTTAAAAGGCCACGTTTACTTTCACAAACCCACTCATGAATAATCAATGACATCATGAATAATTAATAGCAGTCAAATGCCCGCAGATGCGCCTAGTCGGGATTTCTTTAGCGGTCTCGACAGTTTTCGCGATCACGCTAAAAGGGCTAAAAGAACAATTAAGTATTTCTTTTTGTAAAACAAAGTCCCGATTTTGCCAGTCTAGTGACGACCCGTGCGCTCTAGAATATGCAAATCACGGTCCCACAACCAGACAACCCAGATTTGAAGATGTTGACAATCTGACAACGGAAAGACTTGCATTGTTTTATGACAATCTGCATTTCGTCGAAAGACTGTAAAGTTCCGTCAACACGATTAAAGATGCTTCGAGTTTCGAATAATATGATACAATATGACGACTGTATAACTTAGAAATATGGACAGAATACTAACAACTAAAAATATGAATGAAGTTGAACAATTATACTCACCAATGCAAAGAGAACCAAGCCATATTGCAGTCAGCAAGCCTCACATGACGTAGAACAAAATGGAGCTTTAACAACAACGCCCTCTGTAGCCAATTATATTAATAATTTCGTTTTGTTTTAAAGTTTGCGGAGACCACTTTCCCGAGTGTTGAAGATACGGCGTAGCGTAACGTTAACTTGCACGCGTGATATTGTGCTTCTGGGTGTACCAATCGTTGTCACAAAACTAAAATTCCCTTTTATCGACTTAGTATTTTCCGCCATGACAAACCCGGAGCATTTTTGTACACCAGTCTCGCTACTTCCGGGAAATTACTCTCTTTGTGTAAACTCTTACTCAAGTTACTGCGTATTTTTTCTTACAAACCGTACCTGGAAGATGTATTGTGGCAGTAAATGCCATTGTTGTATAGTAGATATACGCATTGTTTATCTGGGAAACAATCATAATATTATTACTTTACACTCATTGTAACGCTGAGTTGTAGTTTCGCTCCATTCAGGATGTACCGGTAGTATACTTTGGTGACGCTCTTTGATAAAAAACCACTTTTCAATATCAAGTATAATTGCCAGACAAATATGAAAAAAAAAACACCTGCGAAGAAACTGACGATGGTGGGATTAGAACAAAATCGAGTAATCAAGGATGGGACGTTATTTAAACAATAATATACTACCCGTTGGCTCTTGAGCCACTGGAGAGTACATTATTGATATTATTTTGTTGCATTGGCAATGCCAGTGAATTTTCACACGTTAAAAGATAATTTGGAAGAAAAGAAAAAAATCAACAGAGTCGCGTCTACATTATATTTTCCTTGTAATCTGTATACTAGTACTGTATATAATGTTAACGCGTTCACGCAACGATTCACACACATAAGCACAATACAGTTTGCAACGGTCATTTCAACATAACACGTATACAAAAAATAGACAAACTTGGAACTCCCTATCCTACATGATGTTAATTGTTTGATGATCGGGAGGACCAGTGATGTGTATATGGGTTGAAGCTCGTAAACCAGACAGTACTGCATCCCATCTTGCTTGCGAGCTGAAGCGTAAAATTCCCGCAGCAAGTCGGCGAGTTCAACGACAGGAATGTCTTCAAGATTGGTGGCGTGACACGTACTTCATTTAGTCTGCTGTGAAGTATTTATTTTCATTTCTTGCAATTTCGAGCACATTTAACTGTGATTCGTCGACATCGATAAAATGGGCCATCGTGTTTGCCTTTGGTTAGCTACGTTTATTTACGCGCTGGACGTCGGTACCGGGTGTTTCTCGCGAAGTTGGGATTGGCCAGACGACGATTTGTGTTTGTCGTTATGGCGGGAATGACATTTTTCATGTTAACTAGGAACAAATAATTATTTTTCATATAGCTAAGAGTTATTTATTTTCAGTTTTGATTTTAATCGTTTTCACCTCATAATTTCCCTTATTATTAAATGCCCGTCACATTATTTGTTTTCCGAACTCAACATTCTATTCTATTCTATGCATGGTACGGGGCCTTGGTGCTCAATAATGCAATACATTATCGCGAATAATCTGTGCCAATGACGTCATAAAATTCGCTGGTATTGACAATGCTATAATATAATTGCCCTTCTCGTCGTAATTAACAGAATGGAGAATTTCTGAATAGCGCCACCAAGTAGAATTATAGATTGTCAAAGTTTGTCGCGCGGGAGATGTACAATTATGTTGGAATTGACAATAACATAGACTATCCTTTTGAAATTTTCAGTTGATTTGATTGTTCAACATATACACATGTGATCATTGATGAAAATTAATCCTACAAGAGAAAGTTAGATATTGATATGAGAGTCTGGTGTTTTGCATCTCATTACCCGGTTATTGTCTTGTGGGCAGTAGTTTATCCTAAATCACAGTCAATTTTTGTACAGTATATGCATGTTTGTTTATTTGACAACTTAATATACTAATAAAAGTAAGACAAGTGTATACATCTTTACAAATACTCATTGTTTATTCATTTGATCAACTTTCTACATGGTAATAAATAGAGTGTACGTTCCTTGTATGTTGTTACAACATGTTATGTTCAAATGTCGTGACGACTGGTATTATGTTAGTGTGTGTAGTAGCATTTTTGTTTACATTAATTTTGCGGTATTGCTGTGAGTATTTGCAGTGGCGGATCTAGAGGGGGTTCTTGGGGTCCGGACCCCCCCCCCCCCCGTTGAAAAATTTATTCAATTTGTTTTTGTATAATATAAAAAAAGGCTACAGCCCAGTTGTCCGAATGTTCACGAGACCGAATGTCCACGAGCCCGAACATAAATAATACAATTATTTCATTCAATGATTTGTATAAGTCTAAGGGTTTAATTTTATGATAGTTTATTAAAAATAAACAAATTAAAAACGATAAACCATGAAATTTTGATGTCATGTGACAAACCCGAGGAAGGC